CACTATCTTTGCCAAGAGAGAAGATGGGGAGTGGTTGTCAAGGAGTTTTTTTAAAAAAATTGAGTGGTGGTGGTTTGGGTGTGTTGAGTAATTTCATGGAGGGTTAGGTCTAGGGTGAGGGTTGGGTTTGGCGAGGGGAGGGGAGAGAAGAAAAAGGCAGAGGGAGAGAGAGAGAGAGAGAAGAGAGAGAAGATAAGAAGCTAAAGTTACTAGAATGCCCATGCCATGTCAGCACACTTAACAGTTTTGTGAATGGAAATGGACGGAAATGGTAAAGTGAGAAAATTTTAGCAATTTTTAGAGATTTAGGGGGTTAAGTGGAAAAATTTCAATTTAAGGGGGTAAAGTGAGACCAAGAGTCCATTTTAGGGGGTAGAACAATAAATAAGCCTTAATTTTAATCAAAGTGGGAAGATGCATGGTAGCTGCACCGAATTGAAGGGTGACTTGACTCCACTGTCCACTCGAGTGTTTTCATATTTATAACGTGTTTGCTTGGAGATTAAGGGGCCCATTTGGGGGAGTTGGAATTTCCAAGTTGTAATGTGTAGAAACCACTCATTTATTATTCATTCGTACTCTTAAAAAGTATTTGTCATCACCCTTTTCCTCCTCATTGTCATTTCTGTGTTCCTTCCCCCCAAACAATCACCGTTTGACTTGAAAGAAAAATTGCAATATCATGAAAACCTCAAATAATGAGAAAAATCTACATGAACTTCCACTAAACTTCCAGGTAGCTGCCGGTACACTAGTTCTATGTGAAATAGTTCTATGTGGCTCTTCTACTTTAACACACATCAAAGAAAGCACCTACTAAGAGCATTTCCGCCTGTAAGCTCAGATAGGCAAAAGGCCTCCTAGGCTTCCAAAACTGGCTCCATTGGTCAATTCTTGCCGTGGCAACACATGGGGTCTACCAAGCCTGGACAAGGTCCAAGGTAAGATCAGTTCAAACTCCTGTCCGCAGGCAATGATGTCAGCCTGACATCAGCAAATGAAAAAATTCTGAAAAATTACCAAAAAAATTCATTTGAGAATGAGTATAGTTTTGAAGTTTATTGCTATGGTTAAGTCAACGATGCCATCGAATGATCAATGTCCAGTGGGGCCGACCAAAGCAATGTACATGAAATTACTATTTTTCCCTTTTCATTATCAGACACAAAGAAAAACACAATTAGCCAATAACTTACAAAGAAAGAAACAAGAAGAACTTGCCTTGAAATTGCTGGAGCACCAAAAATATGCACAACACAGCCCCACACAACCAACTGCTTCGGCTGAATAAACAGAGCAAACCCCTCTCCACTGCCTTCCTTATTTCCCCAACTGCCTTCACATCAACCATCTCTGCCCTTACTCCTTCCAATGGATGTTACAAATGATAAAAGAACAATTTCAAATACAATAAGATAAAGTAACATTTTTCAAGCTTATTTTTATACTTCCTCATTTCAATGCGTGACATTGTTTGAAAATTTATTCTAATTTGTTAATAGAATTGTAAAAACATATTCAATATGTCGTTAATTAATCATAATTGTAAAGATTAAACGTCACCAAAATTGCATTGAGTGGAGGTTCTATCTATAAATTCAACTAAATAAATCATACGTGTAGTTTTCGAGTGATTATAAGTATTGGAAATGGAAGAGAAGATGCATGCTATGACTGGGAAATGAGACATGAAAAGGGCCGTTGTTGACCGTGTACTCTAGTTATATAAGTCTGAGGAGCAATCCATTTTCAATTATGTGCACATCAACCTGCACGGCACCCTCTTCTTCCTAATGAATGAGAAAGGCCGCCTGCCAGAATTTAGACTACAAAACAAATCCTTGTTTGTATGTTTTAACTTCTGAAGTTGACATTTTGAATTCTCTGCACAAACAAATTTGGCAACTCTTCTTAGCGACATTTTTTGACATGGAGGACCTTATATCAATCCTCATTCATACACTGTGGAGCTTTTGATTAGAAATGATGACAAAAAGGAAGACAGAGAGAAAAAAATGCTACGAGACTTCATTTGCTTATATGAATCACACAGATTTTCTAGTCGGCACAATTTACAAGTCAATCAAATAGTTTGAGTGGGAGTTTGACTACCCAATCTAGAATCGCACGCGTGCTGAAATCATTGGTTAACTTGTATTGCATACGATTAACTTTTATCAAATAGTAACACCATCACGTGATGTACATGTTACACGTATTCTACTCGTATTATAGCACGTGTGTTTTTTGAGATTAAGGATCAATTGTTTTTTGAGAACCAGACCATACTTCATGAGAGTTGAGAATCAGTTGTTTTTTGGAAAAGTTCTAATCATTAATCCAAAATAATTGGACAAAAATGGCGTGAAATGACATTGTAGGAAAGTTGATGAGAAAATAAGAGGACGCACGTTGTAAGCCAGCTGAGGAAAAAGGAAAACAAACAAGTGCTGTAATCTTGATACATCTTTGTTTCAGCTATTTACTTACTTTTTCGTGCACAACCTAAATCCACCATACATTCTTTCAAGTTTCGACATTTCCTGCGAGCCCTGAACCAACAAATTTTTTCGGGGCGGCACCAACTAACTCTTTCGGGAATTCCACCAGCGGCTGAAACACCTACCCTGCTTCCAAGTACTACATGTTTAATTTTAAGTTCAAAATACTTAAAACTACAGCCATGTCAATATGGTTAGAAAGCGGTCTGAAAATTGGCTAAAATTACGGTGCTCTGTAAAAAGGTTTAATTTGAGAGAACTCTGTAACATGGGGATTGTGCTCTAGAAATTGGCTTAAATTACAGAGCCCTGAACCAACAAATTTTTTCGGGGCGGCACCAACTAACTCTTTTGGGAATTCCACCAGCGGCTGAAACACCTACCCTGCTTCCAAGTACTACATGTTTAATTTTAAGTTCAAAATACTTAAAACTACAGCCATGTCAATATGGTTAGAAAGCGGTCTGAAAATTGGCTAAAATTACGGTGCTCTGTAAAAAGGTTTAATTTGAGAGAACTCTGTAACATGGGGATTGTGCTCTAGAAATTGGCTTAAATTACAGTGCTCAAATCCCTCGTTAAAATTAACCTTCATATGCTCAACAACAACAGCATTGGTGAAACATTCAGTCATCTACAATTGACCAAAAGTAAGCGGTACACAAAAAGTAATGTAGTTCAACCTTATCCAAGAGATGACTAAAGAACACTAGCCTTGAGAGTGAGATAAAGTATCGCATGTTTTTTGAGAATCAGACCACAACATCAGAGTTGCCAGAAGAGCCACAGTTGCAGTTTCAACCCGTAATCGATGTGGACCAAGACCAACAGAGATAGCACCAGCTTGCATCAATTCATTCACCTCTTTCTCAGTGAAGTCTGAAGCAAGAACATGGAAAAATAGATCCACAATCCTAAGTAGTACTCTCAGTATTGAAAACTAAACTGCATTAGCATATATGATATTTTTATGAGTATACAAGAGGCATAGGATGAACATAATGAGAGACTGAATACTAAGCACCAAACATTCTGGAAGATCAGAGCACACAAACAATTGTTGGTAGTTTATTCCAACATAAACCTTAATAGAAATTTGGGTAAATTTTACTCCTAGTTTGACCCAGACTCTTCTTCTTACCAATTTTGTTAACAATTTGCTGCATACCTTCTAATTGCCTGATATTCAATTGATATTAAAATTCTTATTAATTTTGGTTTGCCAATCAAACCTCCAATTTGTTTCCAAAACCCTTCATCAAGTCAAAGTCATAATTGGCCTAATCAATTTTGCATCAATCTGTCACCCTAAATCCCATTATTTGCGGATATAAATGCAGGATTTTGGTGCTGTCCAGTAAACTAATTCAAAAGGAGAAAAGTTTCTGGTTTTCAAGTTTTATTTATATGCCCGGTGATTGGTAAGCAGCAAAAGTAATAAAAAGAAAACATTTACAGGATGCATACTTACCACCTTCAGGTCCAACCACAATAAATCCACTGGACTCCGTTCCTGACGAAGTTAATGCACTAACAAGAGGGGTACCTTCTGCAACTGCCAAAAAAGCTAGCTTTGACTCTGCAACCTATGAAACAAAATTGTATATATGTAATTTAAATTAACAATGCAAAGGAAGAAGAGTTGATATCCTGAACAGCATGAACATCAATGAGAAAAATATGTCAAAGAGCATTTTATTGAACTACAACTCTCTACCGCAAGACAATTGCACGTAACATTTTAAGTACAAACAATACTAAATCTGTAAACTAAAAGAATAAGAACAGTTTGTCACTGACCTATACTACAGAATGGGCCAGAATACACATCAATAAACCAACCTTTAAAATGAAACAAAATGGGAAGAAAGCACTCACAAGAGGTAAAAGACCATTAATATTCTTTGGAGGATTCAGGATCATTTCATGCAGCCGTTGACCTGTGAAAATAGACATGGGCAAAAAATTTGAATTTTATTATTTCGAATAAAAAGTTTTATAGGACATGTCTGTCAGCACCACATGTATATTAGAATAAGGGTGAAGCTTCTTTAACATTGTTTAGCTGCTGCCATATTGACACGCTGCAACCTGTCCAGACGATTTTCTGAGACAGTAGGAGACCGTTCTGTCAGCAGAGGAGTTAAACTACTAGCCCCCAGCTCCTAAGACAACAAATACAAAAACAGTACAATTAGCAGCAATGGCGGTTATGCACTATCCCTATAAAGTCATCACAAAAACATGAATTATACCGTGCATTTCTCAACAAGCCAATCAGCTCGACCACCCTTTAAAGTACCTAAACAGAGGCAACATGTTAATATGTGACAACAATATTCCCCTATACCTTAACCACTCTTACAAAACATTCCCCCGGAATTGGAAATCTAAAGAACTCACCAAAAGCTGCAAATACATGCCATTGTGTGCTCTGTGGAAGAGCTGACTTTGGATCTTCCAATGCCACAAAATCAAGTCCAGAGCGGTCGACGCTCTGTATTAAACCTTGTATCAAACCTCCTTTCCCATTGAAGAGCTCTACCCTTGCATGCATTATGCGGACAATCATTAAATACACAAGGGTAATGCAACAAACCCCAATTTCCTAAACAAAATTGAACCTTTCATAGTTCTAAATTCCAATTTGTTCATTTAACATGAAATCAAATTGATGGAGTTGATTAGGATTTAGGTACCTATCGTTTGTGCGCAATCTTAAAACTTTGGTCATGTGCCAGAACTCATCGCCTTGTACGCGAACTATGCCTCCCTGTATAATCATCAAGAGAACAAACAATAAGAGCCTACATTTACTCTATGAGAGAGAGAGAGAGAGAGAGAGAGAGAGCGAGGGCTCAAGGTTCTGATAGAGAGCGACGAAGGATTCAAGCTCCACAGCCTTGCAAAACGAGGCCGTATTGGCGTTAGGGTTTGCATTTCCCACCAATTTCAGAGTGCTTGGAGTTGAGCTGTGCTTTTTCAAAGTTCTCCGCTCTGTTTTGGTGGGTGTTGTCTGGGAAAAGCATGCTATGTTGTTTGTAAACGACAATCATATATCGACGACATGGACGACATAAAAACAAACATTTGAATAGTTCGTTTTACTGGTAGTATTAAATTGATTTTGAACTTGACATGAAACTCAAACGGATCTAATAAGAGGGTGGTCCTTGCTTGCTGGTTGAAATCCACATAATTAAGTATTTATAATCAGATAATTTGATTACATAAGGATAATTATGGATATTCTTCTAATACAGAGAGCTTAGCATCGACTCTTTTAACAGGTAAAAGACTGAACTAAGGCAAGATAGACTTCTCAATCATATCTGGCCTTGCTTCAGTTTCCTCTTGGATGCACAACAATGCCAGTGCTAGGAAATCCTGCAGTTGCTGTTGTGCTTGCTCATCTCCCCTAACTTCCTCAAGGATTTTAGGGTCCGCAATTGTCGCTATTTGAATCTGTCCATTAGAAACATTAAGTTTCGGATCTGCAGTAAGGAATTCAATTTCTGCTCCTCGTTTATGTGCATCTCTTCTTGTCAAGAATACAAGTAAAAGCACACCAAAGCTATAAACATCAGTTTTTTCTGAACTTTTATGATGTATTCGGGAAGCAGGGTCTATGTACCCCACTGTCCCTGATGAGAAATTTTCTTGAACATACAATTGGTCAGGAGGAATGGTTCTGGAGATTGAATAGTCGAAGAGTTTGGGAACATAGTCATCGTCCAATAAAATGCAGGTGGATTTTACATTCCTATGAATGATGGGCCTTGGAAAGGCAATATGGAGGTATGTAAGTGCACTAGCAAGTTGCTTTGCAATACGCAGTCTAGTTTTCCATGGTAATAATTCATTATCCATTACTAAACTCCCATCATCGTTGAGACCTCCTTTTCCTGCATTTTCAAACACCAAAGCTGGTACATCGAACTCTAAGCAGCAGCCTAATAATTTCAAGGAATTCTTATGGCTGCTCATCTGCATTGATATGATAATATCACGAATAGCCTCATCGACCTCGACCCAACGTCCGTACTTCCTAATGATAATGCAAGAAGGATACCCAACGTCATCTAGAATACCCCTGTACATGTCGAAGTATACTAATTCATCTATAATGCAAGAAGGATCAAAGTTGTTGGTAGCTCTGATGAGCTCAGCAGCAGAGTAAGAACGAATAGGATGAGATTTTCCATCACAAGAAGCAATTAGATCCTTTAGTAAGATGCTTCCATTCTTCAAGAATGATCTCTCTCTTTCCTCATTTTCCTCCTTTTCCCCCTTTTCCCCCTTTCGCTTTACACGTGGAATGATTGAGAACCTAATATATAGACACACACAACGCACAAAGGAATGAATAAGAAATTGATGCAATGAAAATAAATAATCTATCCCAATTCTCAAGAAAAGACATAGCATATAGCACCCACACTTTGCTTTCATTTTGTTCTTTAGAACTTTACATGAAATCCAAAGAGATCAAATCTGTTCAACAAAAA